AATAGACATTTGCTCCTTCATTGACATATCACAAGATTCATCAACTAGAATAGAATATAGCGAGTCACCAACATCTTTGATAATAACATTGATCGTTTCAATAGCACAAGCATTTACTATATCCTTTTGAACATCAGGTGATGTCAATTTGCAATTGTGAGGAGCATTTCCCAATGTGACGGCATTGATAACTTCATTATGGGCAGCCAAAAATTGATATTGCACTAAGAAGTTACCTGGATTGAGAGAATCCTCGGATTCATCATGACCTCGAAATGAGTGCCTTTGTCGCAAAAGAACTCGAACACAATCAATGGATGCATTAAGGCGTGTAACATATGCATTTCTTGCTTGTTCTGACTGTTTGTAGAAAACTGATTGAATGTGTTGCTCTTGATTCGTCAACACTTCACATTTAATGCAAGCTTGATTATGTGCACTATCATGAAGCCCAACATGAGTATGAAGCATTTTTTTATCTTTCCAATATATAAAACCTTCGCCAACAAAAGACTCACCTCCACCTTGCTTTCCAGAACTTGTTCTGAAAAGATAACAATACAAACAATAAGCAGCATCCTTCTCTACACTGTACTCCAACCAACTACCGAACTCTTTAAACCACGAAGGATTGAATCGTCTAATTGTTACTCCAAATTGTCGTTTTGGAAAGTTATGATCTTGGGGCTGACAAGGACCCATTAACATATATGCTCTTCGAACTTCATCTCGGATGTTAGCATTGTAATCCAAAATGAGTATCCTTAAACCAGGATCAATTGGAAGTTTTGTGACATCAAACTCCACATCATTCGATAACCCCTTATCAACATCCACATTATTCGATGCCCCCTCATCAACACTATCTATGTTCCTTTTTCGTTGAAAGTATCTATTCATTTGATATCTGGATTTAAACATTTGATATCCAGTTATTACTTGAAGTGAGTGAGAATAATTCATAATAATAAAAGGATCATAAATTTCAAAATTTCAAAATTTCAATTCGCAAGTGCAATTCACATTTCACAATCCAATTCACAATTTCACATTATCAATCCAATTTCACAATATCAATTCACCTTCCAAATCGCAAATTCACAATGCAATTTCACAATTTATACTATTTCACAATTTCAAAATTTATACTATTTCATTGTGATGGCAGAAGCAACCCCAACAAAACAAGCCATAAATATGCTATGTACTCATCTTGTACCCAACTATACATTTAAAGTCAGAAAAAGCACCAACTATGTACTCAT